AAAGTTCGCTGCGCTCAAGCTCGATCAGATGATGAAACTCTATCCTGGTCGAGTCTTTTCACGCCCTGAGTTCACTGCCCTTCCGCCGTACATATTCTCAGGGGCAGAGTTCGCTTTGATTCCCTCCCGAGATGAACCGTTCGGCCTTGTGGCGGTAGAATTCGGTAGAAAGGGTGCATTAGGCGTGGGTGCCCGCGTTGGTGGACTGGGACAAATGCCTGGATGGTGGTATAACGTCGAATCAACCTCTACATATCATCTTCTGGATCAGTTCAGACAAGCGATTGATGCCGCGTTGGAATCGAAGCAGTCGACTCGTGCAAAAATGCGGGCTCGTTCAGCGAAGCAACGATTCCCCGTCGCGCAATGGGTGGAGGACTTGGAAATCCTCCAAACGACATCCATCCAGGTCCATACCAAGACAGCTAAAGGGCACGGACGCCCTCGGACCCCTAACACGGGCGCCTTCCAGGGCAACAGCGTGTCATCTAGGCCGTCGAGCGCTTTCTGGCCTTCATCGGGCACGCAGACACCCATGCTTCATTCCCGGGAGGGCAGCTACACCAACCTTAACCGACTCAGCGACTTCGCTGCCCTGTCTGATCCTACAGAGAGACCAGTCTCTGGTCTACAACGCAAACTCTCCCTTGGTGTTCGTTCTGGCCCGGGTCATAGGCCTCGTGCTGCACGGTCTCACTCTTCCCATGATGAGTTATCCGTGACGGAGGAACATCCCGAAGACGTGGCTACCGATGTCGAGGGTGATGATTTCCCAGACAATGAATATGTTCCTACCTCTGCGGAGTTGGAAGCAGCACGTCGCATGCAAGCTGCTCAGCGACCGGGGTCTACGGCCATAACCAGCTCTCACTTCTCCCGCGATAGCCAAGCCCTGGCTGTACCTGGAACACCAGGCTCGCCACAAATGCCTGATCAAAGCCTGTTGCCCCCGGCTGGTCTCAGGGATGTTAGCAACCGGATGAGTACGGCATCATTGCTTTCTGTCGATATGGTGGTGGGACAGAAGAAGGACTTCCGCTTGCAAAAGGTGGATCCGTTTTTCACGGACAGCACAGGCGAGTATTACAACGTCTTCGAGCAAAAGTTGCAGAACCTTAAGGGTAGCAATTCTGAAACAGACTATTGTATCGAGGAATTCTTGATCAAGAGTGAGAAGGAGTGGTTTGAACGATTCCATGACGCCAAGTTGGGTCGGTTAAAGTCACCAGCTCCCTCAGTCTTCCGTGATAAGCAGGGATCTGTTTCCGTTGTTTCAAGGGAAGATGGGTCCAGTTTCAACGCCGAGAGCTCCCATACACATGGATCGGAAGTTGATGATGAGTTCCTGCTCGGCAAGGATTACAGCCCCCCTGCTGGTATCAGGCTTTGGATGCAGATCCGCATTGGTAACTGGTCGGTATACTCCATTTTCCTGGCACTAGGCCAGATCCTCGCTGCCAATTCCTACCAAATCACGCTCTTGACCGGCCAGGTCGGTGAAACTGCAGTCAAACTATACGGAATTGCAACGACCTACCTTATTGCATCTATTTGCTGGTGGTTGATCTATCGCTATTTCAAGTCCGTCGTTTGTCTGTCCCTCCCGTGGTTATTCTACGGCATCGCATTCATTCTTATAGGTTCCGCCCATTGGGTCGACAATTCTTTCAACCGGGGCTGGATCCAGAATATCGGGAGCGGCGCGTATGCGGTCGCATCTGCTAGTGGCTCTCTGTTTTTCGCATTGAACTTCGGCGACGAAGGTGGTGCTCCCATGGAGGTTTGGATCTTCCGGGCTTGCATTGTTCAAGGTTTGCAACAAGCATATGTGATTGCCCTTTGGTATTGGGGATCATCCATGAGCACTGCCTCTAGTGAGGGCGTTTCAACCACAACGAGTGGAGTGGCTGGCTCTTGGAAGATGACGTACGTCCCATCTCTCTTGTTCTATATGAGCTATTTCATATGGCATCTGCTAACTTCGTCAACTAGTGCCATTTGCTACCCCATTGCTCTAGTCGTGACTGTTATCGGATTCCTCCTCTTCCGCGGATTGCCCAATTATTACCACCAGGCCCCGGGCAAGATCGCCTCATTCTACAAAGCAGTCTTTCGTCGAAAGATTGTGCTTTGGAACTTCGTTTTTGTCATCCTGCAGAATTTCTTCCTTAGTGCCCCTTACGGCCGGAATTGGAGTTGTACGTTCCCTGCCCTAGCCCACTCCTAACATTTACCACTTTCCCCGGTCTCCGTTTCCATCTTCTTTCCCTCCCCATTCAAATGACGACAACCCAACTAACCAATCCCCCAGTCCTCTGGTCCTCCACACACGCCGAAGCCTGGCAAGTGGGCCTCCTCTGCATCCTCTTCTTTGGCTTTGTCTGGGTCGGCTTCCTCTTCATCGTCAGCAGATACCTCAAAGCGCACAGCTGGTCATTACCCCTAATAGCCTGCGGGCTCGGAGCCCCCCGCTGGGCCCAAATCTGGTGGGGAATTTCCGGAATCGGATACTTCTTACCATGGGTATCCGGCGGATACGTCGGGGGAGCACTCGCATCGCGCAGTCTCTGGCTTTGGCTAGGCGTTCTGGATAGCATCCAGGGTCTGGGATTCGGCATAATTTTGCTCCAAACGCTAACGCGGACGCATATGCTCTTCACTCTGATTTGTTCTCAGGTGTTGGGTTCCATTGCTACAATCGCGGCGAGAGGCTTTGGGCCGAATAAACTGGGCCCGGGGCCTATATCCCCTGATCCGACGTTTGGGGTGAGTGCCGTGGCTAATGCGTGGTTTTGGGTCGGGTTGTTTTGTCAGTTGGTTATTTGGTATGTTCACCTGGAATCGTATTACTCTGGTGAAACTTGCTGACGATTGTTTGATTTTAGTGCTGGGTTCTTGTTGTTCTTCCGTAAGGAGCAGCTTGCGAAGCCATAAGGGGCTTTGAACGGCGTCATGTTGTGATAGATGGGGAACGCCTATACGAGATGGCATGTTGAAGATATGTCAATATGCCACATTTTCATGTTTTGGGTTGAGCAGCGATGCATAGATGTATATATAAATCTAATAATTACCCGGAAGAGTTTCATTCCCACTGGAGATGTCAGAAATACATTCATGGGTGTTTCAAATTCTATTGTGGTGGGTTTTGTCCCCAACTTAGCAGCTCCCATTAATATCCAGCCTGTCGCCTTTCTTTCTTCCATACCAAGCCTTCCTCACAAGATCATTCAAAGCACAGATAAGCTCCCTTCCAGCTAGTACCAAGACCATACTAACTAAAGAAGCCGCCACGCCTGCCACAAAAACAGGCGTAAAAATTGAGAATTTTCTAGACACCGCCGCAAAGGTCCACCACGGACTCGCACTGCTTGAGTCGGAAAATGCCTGGACGAGAATGACTAACTGGAGGGCACTAAGTAACAAGAAGATGGCTCCGAACACTAACAAACTAGGGGCATAATGTCCTTTCACTTTCTGGTAATGAAGTTTAACAATAAAACGCGGCCCCAGAAATTCAGTCGCGTGAGTCGCAGCTCTCCGAATTCGTAGCGGGGAAGATGTGCGGGTCATCTTGCTTGGCGACGAGATAAAGTTGCTAGCAAATTGTGCTAAGGTCGGCAATCAGGAAATTGCGTTGAAGGTATGAGGCGTTGGCAGATGTATCGTGGAGCCCGGTTGGGGGATCCCAGAGTAGTACGCTTGAGGAGTTCTTTGCTATCTCGTTATCATTGTCCACCATTGAAGTGGCCAACGACTAGTTCGTGATTATGGCGTAGTTCTGCCTGGGCTATGAACAGCATGGTTTCCATTTTCGTAGTTTGACATCCTTCGGGCTAGTAGTTGGTAACTTGTAGTGGTGAGTTGGGGAGACCTGTTGCGGCACGACCCCTTCCTAGCCACCAAAAAAATCTACCACTGTGAGAGTTGCTCATCCAGGACAACCCGCCTTATCTTAGAATCGGGGACCACTTTCTACAACGGAAGCGCCAATGGCGGATGACCAAAGTCAGGCTGACAAGCATGTATGGTGGCCGAGCTATGGTGCCTTTGCCTGCATACTGCGTGTACAACTCCACAGCATTTTCACCGTGATAGGCCCTGCGGGAAGAAGCAACCATAGGTAGAAACCGGATGAGAAGTCTACTTGACGAAAAACATTAGCCGTTAGAGTGCTGGTCCCGCGGCTGTGTGGGTGCCGTAGATAGTTATAATAACCCGTCTCAACTTCCAAGGCCAGGTAAACAGAAGCTTGTGCTACCGGCTTTCTCTGGGTCATCCAGCTAGATGAAAATCCGGACGGCTGATACAGGTCCGGCTTGCAGGTCGGATGGGAGCTGGCCTGATATTTTACATAATACAAGCCATATTTCGGGATGTTCAATTTTTCAGCTGATTCCGTGCAGCATGCCAGAGAGGAGTTGATGGCAAGAAGCTAGTCAAGCCGCACAGGACAAAACACAGAAGCGGGGCAAAGGGCATCCAGCTGATAGCTGGCGACGTGTGCTTTTTACCTGGGGGCCTAACTATAGTTTAGGAGCAAATACCTTATGGTCTCCAAAGCCCTCTCGCGAGTGATCCGTAGTCGCGACGCTCTCAAGTCAGTTGATGGGCACACATTCAATGCATGCATTCAGAAAAATGATACCAAGAACCATTCATTGGCATGGTATCTACCCTGACCAGTTTTCTCACTCAATACACTGGGGGCTTTTCGGTCACGGTCAGTAACATCTTCGAAACGTGGTGTTGACCAGTATCTCGTCCGTTCACCGATTAATAAAAAACCCCAAAACTTTTGTAAATGTACAGCTTAAACATATGATATAGATACTATTAATATAGCACATAAATTGGAGAGGGGGCATCACTGTACTCAATCGAGTTGCCCAGAGAAAAGGAATACCTTTTTCTATCCAGTCAAAAGCACTATATCGTCATGATGATTACTTGATTCCCGAGAAAGACCAACTAACTATAATCACAGAACAGTCATCATCGCTAGCTCAAATCAGTAAGGTAATGCCTCCTAGCCCAAAAGGCCCTCGCTTTCTCCTTCCACCCCTTACGTCGCTAAGTGGGCACGACTGGCTGGGCTGTCGCCACTGTTTTGTGGGGAATCGAAACTAGTATCTCTACAGGCAGACTTAACTCTGCGATGTAGGTGGCTTGGGGTGGAAAGTCCTCCAATGGCCTCTTCAACTGGTAGCCCCTGTCTGGGTTCAACGGATCGAAGAGACGAAGCCAACCAAGAAACGCCTGAGTTGAGGTCGGATCGAATAGTTGCCGCATACATCCCCGGACTTCCTCAGGCATGTCCGTTTCCTTTGCAGTTACAGAGGGCGATATACATGCTTGCCAATGCTTCGGCCAGTATTTGGCGGCGTAAAAGAGGAGCTCAAACCGCCGCTCGCTTACTATTTCGTGTTTCCCCACTTTTGGCCCATGTAGAAGGAGATATCGAAGGCAACACGATAGAATTATCCAGTGCGCATCAGCATCACCTGTGGGAAGCGAAGCGTGCGCTTTCAGGACATGCCTTTTGACGGATATATGGGTGAAGCTTACCACCCGTTCCTCGCCAACAACGGTAAGAGTTGCGAGTGGGTGACACATGGCCATCAGGTCCGATTCATCGAAATTGGTATTGAGGTCCGAGTTGATGGCTTCCAGCAGCTCACCAGAGGTTATCGGGCGAAGGGAATATGTCAGCCAACAGAATATTCGCTCAACGTACATTCGCTGGCCATTCGGCATTGACGCAAAAACAGCGTCATACAGCGACAATATCGAGCCATCGGGGGTACTTTCAATGATGTTGATTATCTGATGGAATCCTAATTGCTGGATCATATGTGGGATGACTGTGGTCCACCCAAATACAGTAGGGCTGGTATTTCTTAGCTTCGTATTGGCTACGTATTTGGTCATTGATTAATGAAATCAGAAAAGTCACTTACAAGTTATTCCATCTTTTATCAAGAAGATCTAATAGCACAGCCATTTGTTCCTGGCTTATCAGAGGAGAGTTGCTCACAGTGAAAGAGAAGAGTTTTTCCATAATGAAAATTCGCACATAATCATCTGTCTCTCCCGGTAGTTCGACAGTTCGCATTCGTTGAAGAATTTGCTCTTCCGTTATAAAGGGTGCTTTCCTTGAACTGGCGAGAACACGGAACCGTTGATGATCAAGCAAGCAATTGATTAACCTGACAACATCATCGAAGTCATCCGTGGGATAGATCTCGTCAATCCCGTCTAAAACCACAATTGTCTCCCTTTTCAGATCGTCGGCAACAGAAGCCAAGACCGAGACGAGTTCGTCAATATTAAGGATCTCTGGAAGGCTGTCTTTACGCCGTGATATATCTCGGACATAGTCAGGGATCCTACTTCCTTCGGCGTATGCTCGACATAGTTGGCCCAGAAGCTCAAGCAGCACCGAAGTGGCTACGTTGTTATCTTCCCTCATCTCATGTGTGAAAAGGAAATGCAGAACCTGGGAATTAGTATTCTGTGGGAAGTAACCGCCAATGAGGGAAATGCTATTCGCTATCTTAGCTGCTCGTCATATAGTGGGGTTCCGGCAATTTCAACTCACCACACGCTTGTTTTGCCTCCCCCAGGGGGTCCCAAAATCAGTAAGCCCCTCTCCTCGCCGCGCATCCATTGATGAAATTCATGGGACTCGATGATGGATGACTGGGAACTCGAGAGCTCTGGGGGTACTCTCCCTTCTAAATCTTGGAAAGGGTCCATTTGAGCTGGACCAGGGTGGCTGTAGTAGTATATGTCCTCGAACAATTCTTTCTTCATTTCCTGGTACCTTTTCTCCCCATACTCATAATGGCAGACGGTTTGAGCATGTCGATATAGCAAGCGGCATTGTGGCCAATCTTCTTGGGAGAATGCTTCCCGGAATAAGCCATGGATAACTTCCAAAGCTGCAGCTTGGAAATATTCCAGCTCGCCTCTTTTTTCGAGCCAGGCGCGGACAGTAAGCTGAACCAAGCGGTGTATGCTGAAATGGTTGTTTCTCTGAGAGGTCGAGGTAATAAGGGAGTAACTCAGCAACGTTCCAATGTCCCTTTGCAATGCAATCCCTCCTTTTCTCCACCTACAGGTCAGGATAGACATTGGAATTTCCTCTCGACTGACCATGGCCATGAATGCCAAGATTTCACTGGCATCAGTAACCGGTACCTGCTGTTTTATCTTTTCGAACGACATTTGCCAGGTGAAAATGACCGCATTTGGCACATCAGTTCGCCTAGTATTATCCCCGAAGTTTTCCTCCAGGAGGATCTTTTGGTTCATTTCATTAGCCATAAACAGGAGTAAGTACTCGCTTACAGTCGTATACGTTGCCCTAATATACGCGCATGCTTGTTTGATTGCCAGTGGAAGACACATGAGTACTTCCGCCAATTCCTCGATATCGGCTTTCGAAGATGGGTCGTCCGGTAACATGCTGCGGAATAAGCCCATGGCTTCAGTCATCGTCATCCGGTCAACTTTCACAACGCGATTTGCGAACCCAACGAGCTCCTCGGCAACTCTTCCATTGCGAGAGGTAATTAGCACTTTTCCGTTACTCGCGCTTGGGATCAAATTCATGAGATGAGACTCTTCCGGGTGCGTTGCATCGACGAAAGTGAGATCGTCGGCATTATCGACAACTAGGAGCCATCGGGAAATATGATCCGACCGTAGCCATTGGGTGACGAGTGAAATAGTCTCACTCTCGGTGTCCACATTGCCTTCCGCTCCTGTGCGGAAATTGGATTGCAAGGTACGGATATATTCAGGTGGTATTTCACGACGAATGGTCTCGTACGAACTCTGGAGACTTGATTTACTTGCCGCATACACCCAAAAGCTGCACAAGTCCGGATCCTGCTCATGCATCTGGTAGATATACTCCAGAGCAATCCGACTCTTGCTGTAGTAGAGATCCGAAGTCAACTCTAACTGCTGCTGCGGTCCCAATTGTGACTTACCCCGCCCCACCAAGACCACATAACGCTATGCGAGTTGACTGCTCGAATCCTTCATTGATTTGCTGAAAACATGCCTCCCGGCTTACAAAACCCTCCTTGTCTCGGACGAAGGGCACTAAGGGGTCACGTTGTGTGTAAATTTCCCTGAGTCCGCTGAACTGACAGCCTGGGCCTGGGAGTGTTAGTGTAAGAGCATCTCTGATCTCTCTGAGATAGTGCTGCATAGAATTGTTCAGTTTTAGTTGCTGCTGAGAGGAATCGTTCAGTGTCTGGAGGAGATTGCGCGAGGCAATGAGATTAAGGTCTTTCGCCTTCCCCTGGATTTCCGATTCCAGCGTCTGCATATCTTCTATCATCGTAGTCCATGAGTCCCATTTCAAGGTATCTTTCAGCAGTTGTTTCAATTTCTTTGTCGCCGAGTCGACATAGTAATACTGACAAACAGACTTTGCAATGTACTGGATTAGCAACTTGTATAGCAGAACAATCTGACCCTCAAGAACATTCCACGCTTCGTCGGAACCAGGGCAGCGGTGACTCATCAACCAGACGGCATAAGAAGGATAATACGAAATTCGACGAATCACTTTGGATAGTCCCTCCACGTTTTCACTCCTTTGTTAGACGGGGTTTAGGAAAACCTGTATCAATCAGCTAAAAAGAGATGGCGTATGGATGATTCCTCTGTTCAGGTAGATAAAGTGAGGACAAACTTGGGGCTTACCGGCAGAATGAGGCACAACCCCGCCCATGCCAACGACGCCTCCGGAGAGTTTTTTATTGCCTGGGCAACAATATCTTTCATTGATGTGACAATTTGAACCCCTGTCATAACACTCTGATTCCATGCTTGCTTGTGTTCCTCTTGTCTGATCATCTCATTTGTGAGGCTCAACATTCCATGCAGTTCATCGGGGTTGATTCCAGGTGAGACTTTGTTCTTTCCTAGAAACATGGGATTAGCATATACAAAGAAAGTGTTGTCAGCAACAGGTATCGAGAAGCAAACCGTTCAACTTGAGCTGGTCCTTGGCTAACAGGATCTTTTCCTCGTACTCATTCACCAAAGCTTCATTTTCCTGCTTCAGAAGCTCATATGCGCGCCTCCAAATACCCCTCGGATCAATAATGTCGTGAGCCATTATGATTCTGGGAGGTTATTATGCGGGAAGAACGGACGTGAAGACAGAGGGAGCTGAGACAAATTGGCGCTGTGGCGGGGTTGATCACGTTACTTTTTTGCGTTAGTGGCCTCGTTGCGCCTTACCCTCATTTCGCGCAATATTACAAAGAGGACATAAAGCCAAAGGTGGGCTGGCATAAGGTATAGTATCCCTCTAATCGATTATTCGTCTATTAGGGATATTACATGCCAACATTAGAAGATAGCAGCAACGAGAATGGCGACAAATGCATGTCAAGGCACGATAGTAAGGCATTGGCCATCCAGCTATAGCTTGTGGAAGAAGGAATTGTGCAATTCATCGCATAGTGGGCTTCGCTTGGGCGGATAGGGAACGCGCCCATCAGCCAATTAGACTGAGATAAGCGAAAAAGCAACTATGGCGGTTGGTCTTCGCCACTGAACTCCAAAAAGGAAGAAGGAAAAACGGAGACTATCATTGATCTATCTGCGGCCCTGAGCATTGAGACTACTCTTATGTTGGGTATATTCAAGAGCCTGTAATGTCAACTGATTGTATGTAACTGGGTTTCCGTCATGAGCTCAAGTCCACAAGAATGATACGTATATGGGTTTAAAAATAAACTGGCTATAGGTAATCAAATAAGAACTCGGTCATCGAAAACCGATGATTGATTTAGGTCCCATGCTTCCATCCACTGCTACATAAGATCTGTACCGTGTCCTTTGCAAGTCGTGCGATGTTACCACACGGCCACAGCCTTCATCAAATCTAGAAACGTAAAAATTCTTGCACATCCGGGAGCTGACGAGCAACGATCAATGGAAATTGGACAGACAGACATTTAAGCACCCCAGTTTGGCTTGTCCGCCTCCTGCTCTGCATGGCTTAGTGCTGCATCTCTCTCTCGGCGAGCTCACTCAGTTTCCGACGGTCGACTTTGCTATTTCCAACCTGAAGGTTAAGTGTGAGCATTTGGTTGAGTCTCAAGACATGGCCGACTTACATTCGAGATTGGAATTTCGTCGATGAAGGTTGCACCACCAAGGAGTTGCATGCGTGAAGTGAATTCTGTCTGCATCCAGTGCATCAATTCGTCGATGGTTAAGGGTGAGTCTTTCGACTTGACAATATAGCCACGAGGAATGGGTTCTTCATCTCCATCCCTATACGATAGGAGCAATATCAGCACGACAAGTAGCAGGTAAGGGAGACATTCTATTTTTACCTCATGACTGGAATAACAGCGGCATCGGTAATATCCGGATGTTGTAAGATAGCCATCTCGATCTCAGCTGCAGAAACATTGTCGCCATTTATTTTGAATAGGTCCTGAATAAATGGAGCGGAACATTTAGAGTTCGTGCATGTATTTGGATGTAACTGGGAAAGACGTACCTTTTGGCGACCAACAATATAAAATTGACCGCGCTCATCAACCCAGCCAATGTCGCCAGTCTTGATCCATCCATCATCTGCTATGGTCTGAGCAGTTTGCTCAGGTTCTTTGAAATATCCCTTCATGGCAAATGGACTCCTTATATGAACATGTCCTTTCTGGCCTCTGCTTAGCAAAGCGCCCTGGTCGCCAACTATCTTCGCCTCCAGACTTGGAAGCAAAGTTCCTGTTGTGGCATCCTCTACTACCTGAGTTGGATCGGGGAATGTATAGAAACCTGCCCTGCATTGGCACAGCGAAAGGAGTAAGTCCTACTCTGTGTAAGGTAAGGAGGATAGCACAAGGTCCACCTACTCGGTCATTCCATATGTACTCTGCATTTGAGATCCATGTAATCGCTGCCACTGGTCGACCATTTCGTAGGGGATGATCGCGCCGCCGGTGAGGACATGTTGTACACTCGGGAAGCTGGGCTTGTCGAATTTTGCCAGGAGCTCGCGTACCAGGTGCTTAGGGAGCATCAGCCAGGTAGGTTTGAATCGTTCAATTGTTTGCATGAAGGTTCCGGACTCAAATCTCGTAGGATATATCGTCTTATATCGAGCCTTCAGAGGGAGCATGAATCCCAATATCAGAAATCCCATACCGCAGAACTTATAATTGCAGAATATGGTCTCTCTGCTTCTCTTCCGAAGGTTATAGTGCTGTAGAGTCTGCTCAATATTTCCAATAAGGCCATAGTGAGTGCGTTCTGCGAGTTTCGAAGATCCTGTTGTTCTATCAGAAGATTAACATCCGTGCCCAAAGAAGAGTACCAAGCCAGCCTACCCGGAAGTGTAGAGCAGGAGAGCAGTCGTTGCCCTTGCCTCCGCAGGCGACAGTCTAGGCCACTCATAATCGTCACCGCCAGGCGTATTTAAAAGATGGCTCCAGTGTCTGAAAGCACCGTCATCCCAATCGTCGGTATTCACGCCACCGAAAGACTCGTCAACCATGAAAAGATGCTCGCTAGAAATACCCAACCTTGCTGCTGCAACGCAGACGAGCTTTCGATCCTGAGGCGCGAAAAGGACAATGTCACAGTTCAGTTGCCGCAACCGGGAATACAATTCATCTAAAGGACCAGGAGCAAGAACATTGCATGCTGCTCCAGCAGCAATAACCCCAAGAATAGCCAGGGGGAAGTTGATGTTCGCGTCGCCGTAGACCATGACTCGCTTGCCTTGCGCTCCCAGCTGATGAAGGCCGCAACCGACTCGCTTCACGATATTCTTGATCAGGTCGATTGTGTATCCTGAACGATCGCATTCCATTGCTGATTCGAGAAGAGGCTCCGATGACGGCCAGGCTCCTTCATTCTTATAAGGCGAGCCAAACAAGTAGGATAGAAGGTCTGTTTGGGGTGCATTTACACTGTGCCGGGACTGGACTAAGGACATTCTGGATAGGTAGGGTGAGGACTCTCGGATACCGATGGTAAATTGAAGAATAATGCGTATAGAAACCGAAAAAAAGAGTAAAGCAGGTTATGAATATATAAGATTCTGCTACAACTGCAAGCTTAATCTATTTCCTTCCTCGTGTTGTATTTTCATCTATGTCGAAGCCGATAAGTGTGGGAGAGAGAGCAATGGCTTTGTGGATTAGAATGTTTGCGGCCGACTGCTTGTTAATATCTCTAATAATGTCTCTCGATACGTGGTCATCACTTCGGCCAATCGCTTGAGTTCAGCTGAAAAAGGAACGGGGGGCGTCTTTGCTTCTTATCAAATACTAGTAAGGCCGGTGGGCCCGGCTTGACAGGGGCTTGGACTACCACTGGCTTCTGCGGAGAGCTAGCATAGCTTCGGGGTTCCGGCTGAGACTTCCCAAATTTGGGTCAATCCTGAGAGGCTGGAATTAGCCTATTCGGGATCCACTAAATCCTATTGGACTGTCACATTCAGGTGTCCCCAGTTTGTGCGTTTGCTATGGGTCCCTGGATTTGTTCTATCTCGTCACATCACAGCAAAGTCTTAATACAGAGAGATATGGAACTAGGATCTTCTCTAAGGGTCTTCGTTCAATTCATAGGATTGCATAGTAATTGGAATAACGGATGTCCAGTCTAATCGCATTCAAAGTAGTTGAATGTCACCCCGGGCAACGGATCCGTTGTTAATATTTCGGACCAAATTCGTTCCTGAGTGTAAGTCTATGAATACACTTTCCTGCCTTTTCCAGCTAGGACCTCCGCAAAGAAATCACGAAAGGATGTTGGTTGGAAGTCTGGATAGAGCTCTCTAGCATTGAGATAACCCAGATAGTCGGCATAACGAGGACTATTATCCACCCGCACGTATTTGCTATGCTCATACTGGGTCACGAAAACGCCGATGCGCTTCATGTTATCGTGAGGACTCTCGGCGAGAGCGGCTTTGGCTTGCTTCACACTGGCTTCGATATCTTCATTTGATACCTAGACATTCGCTCTTAGTTAGAACAAGGCAGTAAAGACAAAGTTGACTTACGCGAGACGGCTCCAGCTTCTCTCCAGAAACCTCTTCCGCGATCTGGTAAATTTCGTTCTCCGAAAGTACATCCCCGGCCGTGTAAACATATCGGTTAATAGTTCGGTCATCGAGTATGATTCGTGCGACATATCGCCCGATGTCACGTAGGTCGGTAAGAATATTAGGGGCTGCTCCATCCCCATGAATAGTCTTCACTGGAACTATCTGGGCGTAATCCACTTTTCCAGAAGGGAGAGTCGGAAATGAGATCTGATACCAATAGCCAACATCGATCACGGTATAAGGAATACCCAAGTACTTGATGGCATTGTAAACTTCTTCTTTCTACTTGCCTGTTAGTCATCTTGGATTTTCTCTCATGAATCACGGCATTCATACCTCATCACGAAGCAGCATAGCGCCCGTTGGAGCTGCTACCGTGGTGAAAGCACAGGGAATGACTCTTTTGACACCTGCAATCTTCGCTGCTTGAAGTAGCTTCTTCTGCTGGAGCAAGTCATTGGGTCCAATAGCACTGATGAAAATATCGGTACCGGTCATAGCAGACACAAGCCCATTAAAGTCGTCAAGATCTATGGGCCAGATCGTAAGGCCTTGCTCTCTGAGCTTTTGGACCGACGGTTTATCTGCAGAAGCGGGCCGCGCTAAAACCTCCACATCCTAACCAAAATGAGAAATCAATACTTATCAACCACTGAGAAAGAATCTGCTGTATGGTCCATTCGACATACGAAATTTCTAGATTCTTGCAGCCCATTCAGGATAGAGGCCCCGGTCTCTCCAGTCGCTCCAAGGAGTAGTACTTTCTGCTTGACAGCCATTGCACGTATTTGGTGGGAAACAAGATATCTTGGTCTTGTTAAAGGGAAGCAATTCTTGAACACCGAGACAGACGTAATTCTTTTATAGAACCTAGGTGGGTAGCCAATAAAGGATTTGGGGGTTTGTCCGGACTGTGGGGATTATAACAACCTTGGCATTTTAGTAAATCCCGACTTCACACATGCTGCGGTCCGTCTAGCTTCCGGGCCATTTCACGGAATTTGTGCATCCGATACATTACTAGTGACGTAACTTGGTACAATGCGGAGCCGTTCAGGCAGTCTGTTACCCCATCTAACTCCTACAAAGTGGATGTTTTGATTGATTCCATCTGATAACTGTATAGTACAATAAATCAGTGCTCGCAATAATCGCTTGAGTCCCTGAGGAGGCATTTCTTTCTGAGTCCGACTATTCCGATTCCCTGTAATTGGATCTGTGACTTTACAAAATAACTGTACTCGGATTATATTTTACACTATTCGATACATTTTTGTTACGTTCTTCTACGTTACTTGACCTATAACTATGTTTAGATTCAGGCTGTTAGGTGCTTTCAATGAGATATTATTGAGATACAATATCACCAGAAGGTATTTATCATACCGCATTACTGAATGGACCGGGATTGTAAAGGACAAGCGATTATGAAATCTGGTGCGTGCTTATAAAGCAATTTCTATATTAGTAACATATTACACGGTTAACGGAAGTTCAGTATTGCATTTTGGGCTTCCGGGAAACAGCTCGGAAGGTAGACGGACCGCAGCATATCCCGAGTTGGGTTTCGGCCAATCGAACATTTGGGGTACATATTGAATCACAGAGCTTGCTTTCTGCCTTCGCGTATCTCTTCTGGCTGTCTACACTCTCCAGTTACACTGTAGGTAATTTATGCCGATTCAGACTATCAGAGAAGTATTTATCACCCTCACAACAGCAAGGACCAGACATCACTCTGTCCGAATAGTAACCGTCCTGGACAACCTCAAATCCCTTGAACTCGCCCCAGCACTAAATGTATACTCGCCCCCATTAACAGCCCATTGTTGCGCCTCCACATCCCAAAACGACACATCCCGTCTGCGGATCGGAAACGTCACCGTCGACCTCTCCCTGCGAGCCAGCTCCACCCGCTCAAAGCCTCGAAGCTGGTGCACAGGCTGCTTCGCACTCTCGGGATATGATAGGTACAATTGCTGAATCTCAACTCTAGCACTACCACCGGTATTCGTGACGCTGACGCTGACGTTCGCGATAACGTCCCATAGGTTCACTGGTCCACCGACGGATTTCTTTCCTGAAGGGTAGACGGAAAGGGCTTCGATAGATGGGACATTCAGGTCGGTGTAGAAATTTTTGTCACACGGAAAGTGCACTCTTATCGCATTGATATGGACAACCAAGTGCAGCTTACCAATCGCAGAGGTAATACAAACTCAAACTACCATTCCTTTAAAAGTATAAAAATCAACACCTACTCTATCTACTTCTGTTCCGGGCATTCTTATCCTCCTTATCCTTCCCCCAACAACCCTTCCAGGCATTCACATTTTCACCCCACAATCACCGCTTCGCCATCCCGCACTTCGTCAAACACTCCTCCACCTTAATCGCCATATCTGATGGGATGGCTTTCCGGATCTTCTCAATATCATCCCCGGTAATACTCTGCCCAAAGGTCCGTGCAATGACCCCATCACTGAGGGAGAACAGTTGCTCCGCCACCAGGCTCACAGCGAATTCATCAGACGTAAACGCAGCGGTGAAGTTCGCTGGCTCGCAGTCCGGGTTCACTTGCGTGTGGAATGAACCTGCCGGGTAGATGGTCACTTGACCGGGGCGCAGGTCCGTCCGGATAACCCGCTGGCTGTTGTTACTATCAAGAACCCCAGCTTGGGGAACCATTTCGGAAAGAATATGGCCGGAATTAAGAGCAAATAGTTCAGTGGCGCGAGGGTGGAGGTGGAGGAAGCTCATGCTGCATGCTATTTGAGGATTAGTTTTGGACGGTTTGTTTGATTGCGTTTAGATGTACTGATGTCTTACCTGGAAGTTGCGACATGCTGATAGCGGCGCCGACATCAACGAGTGCTGGCCAGTTCTGGCTTGTGGCTACTGGGATCTGTTCTGTGCCGGTGAAGTTGAAGACAAAGTCGGAGTCATTAGGGAGCAGTTTGTAGCGCTCGATGGCCCTTGTATGATCATTAAAGTCAGATGATTGAAAGTTCGGAATTTGGATTAGGGCAGCGGTCTTACGTATCGGCAAGGCGAAGTTGAGCCGTCAAGCTGAGGTCGGAATTTGAGCGCTTAGCTACCGGGTGCGGCACTGCTCTCGCCTGGACGACCAGAGCGAGTATGATCGTAAGATCGAAGTATAGAGAGAAAGAGAAAATCATTATGATGTCGTGTTGGTTTTGAGCTTCGTGTTCAATGTCTCAGGAGTAGGGTTGTAGAGCTGATAGATGGTGAAGATGTTGGATGAGGAAGTTGGAATAACGTACAATCACGCAGGCTGTCGCTGAGATTTATATATTCATGGAAGGTCAGGAGGCTTTTCCTACGTTTTGTTATATTCTGCTACCACATACAAAGCCAAGTCCTAATCTTACACCTATTGATTCCCCAGAGTATCGATTCCAAATCTACACATCACAGCCACTGGTCTCCGAACCATACAAAGTTGTCGCCAAGCTCTCTGTTGGCTGGGCACGGCCACCCCGGCGTATTAGTAATACGCCGCATATTTCATCCATCGATATAACCATCACCTCGTGTTCATGCAGGGTCTTATGCGGGGAGGCGTAGTTCCCGGGGGAGGCCATGCACCTCGTACCCTCACTGCCCAACCTTCTTGGCGAAGTCATTCCAGGGCCCGACTCATTTTCTTCACGGCTGCTCGACTACTGAATAACTCTAATTTCACGGTTAATCACATCGAGCAGAGCCTCACGCTAGACTACCCGCCATGACAAATACTACTAGACTGATGTTCTGCACGGGCAACTTCTCCATTTATGAGGCTGAGTAAACTCAATCTTGCCTTGAGGACTCTTTACTAATACGACCCAACCGCCCTTCTGCGAAGAACCCCGACTTCTACGGTCCAACATTGTAGCTTAGCGTGCCGTCGGCAATATGGCCATTAATAAAACGCTCTCAGATCTCCAAGCGACCGG